TTCCTTTCCATATCCCAAGGATGTCTAATCTGATAAATACCCCTTTACCTACCCCAATTCTGCCAAAGGACTTAGCCACAATTATAGCTATAGATTATAGTGTTGCCTGAACTTTGTCTATTTCTGATGGGCCAGGCTGAATTGTCCAACAAGCTTCGAGTCTTTTGACACATTACTTCTTCCAGCGTGGCCGGCCACTTGATGACCGTGGGGAGCAGACTGCTCCATGTTTTCAGTATTGACGCGAAGATTGCCAACTCTGAAGACATCGGGAAGTTACGTTACGACTACGCTTTAAACCCGGCGGGTCAGTGTTAGTCCGGTACCGAGAAGAACTCAGTGCGCTACCACCCACTCCGAGTCTCGAAACTTATCCATTTGGCACTTGGATCCAGGGACGCGGCCCCCCTTATCCACTCCACCACGCACAGCACCAACCGTGTTTCGCCCATGTACGTAAGTTCACTTTCATTCTCAGAAAATCTCTCGTGAATAAGCAGAGACCCAGACACTGTTGGGATTTGACAGGCACCACTCCTGCATTAGGATTAATTTTGAAGGGCAATCCTGATCCACGGGCGGTTGGAATCGAGACTCTGATTGAGTTGTCTCACTAGTACCCACTTTATCAGGAGGGCTTCGTTCTGGGAGAATGTATCTGGTAGTCCCCCTTCCCCCCCCCCCCTTCCTCGTTCCTTTTCTGTGTGATCTTCCACCAGGCGACTTCAAACGCATTCTCAAACTCAAACCATGAGAGCGCTCTAGTTTTCCCTTTTTTTTATTAAAATATATTGGAAACCGGAGGGCGGAAAACCCTCCACATATCTATACAGGGGTCACTACCCAGCGTCAGCTATAGCTGAAAACCGGCTCCAGCATTCTTTAATACTGTTACCATAAAAAAAAAAAAAAAAAAAAAGGGTAAGTACGTCTATGTCACCTTTGAGTATAGAATGGGCAAAAAAAAACAAGTGGCGGCAAAGAAAAAACCGCACCGAGTTTGAAAAGGCAACTGAAGTACCGTGGTGTCAGACCGGGTGTTATATTTACAGGGGTTGGCCATGGTGTCAGAGAGGAAAAAAAAAAAAAAAAAAAGCCCAACGGATACTTTTGGACCGAAACCTCTCATTTCAAGTTGGCCACTGGTTTCTTTGCTGCCGTGCGTTCTTTTTGCCTTTAGGGTTTCAAAACATGCCGCGTCCGCCGTTATTTCAAAAAAAAAAAAAGGGGGAAACGACGCCGGAGTCGCAAAAATGAGTAACAATTGCACTATGGGCCAAGATGCTGTTTCAAATTGCAGTTCGCACAATGTATACAACCCAGCTTTCTGGCCAGGTAGGGTGCCCGAAGTGCAATTGTACCTTCAAGTTGCCCCGTAGTGCAATTATAACTCGTTTTTGTGACTCTATTGAAGTTACCCCCCCCCAAAAAAACACAAGGACTGAACATATAAGAAGCAAACGAACCAAAGGAAGAAAAGAGAGGGAAGATGAACAAATCCAGACACCTTCACAATATCCACTCGTCCACACAGACTAGATCTACAGACTAGAGCCCACACCTCAACAGAAAACACAAGGACTGGACATATAAGAAGCAAAGGAACCAAAGGAAGAAAAGCAAGGGCAGATGAGCAAATCCAGACACCTTCACAATATCCACTCATCCACACAGACTAGATCTACAGACTCGAGCCCACACCTCAACAGACAGGAGGTGCCCTTTTTTTTAGGCTTGGATCCCACAGTGCGTTTTGAAGAAAAAGTCAGAAAAGTACCCTGAAAGTAGTGTCCGCGCCAACCGGTTCGTAAGAACGAATTTGGATCCCATAGGCCCGACGGGGAAGGCACTTCTCCACAAATTTTGCCGACATGCACTCCGTCCCAACGCCATCTACGGACATCCAACGGCCAACGACCACGAACCGACAACAGAAAAAAAGGGAAAACCCAATTTTGCAGAGGCACCTACTTTCAGGGGGCGGGGGTAGGGGTTGGGAGCTTTTGGAAATTCGTTCACGAAACCAGCCACCACTCTCTCCCGTGCTGCCACGAAGGAGGCCCAGAGAAGAAACAGCCGAATTATTTTCCGTGTCTGGTCACCGCGGAAACGTGTGGGATTTCTTTTTTTTCACAAAAGTACCCCTACCACAGATTGTGGGATCCAAGCCTTAGTCTCAAACACAATCAGGATGAGTACGCAAAGAATACAGAGAGTACTAGATGACAGGAGTTGCACTGCTTGACAGGGACAAATGAATGGACCCTGCCAACAGTAGAAAAAGAAAGCACACTCAGTCAGAGAGTCAGTACAGGGAAGAACGCCTGCGATGACATGTGATGCGCAACCTCACTCCCCGCGCAGCGTTCCGTACTTCGGACGCCGATCAGAGTTATTAGGGGTGTGGCCGAGGATTTTTGGCCGTGGGGGTTGAGTCATACGGACGAAACGGGGGACTCTTGCTTCGGCCTGAGGTGCCTGGGCGGGGATTTGGGCTGTCGCCGACAGCGGATGAGGGGAGGATGGGGTCCTACGGTCCGATCGTCGTCCTTTTTTCGGAAAAAGAGAAAATAACAGACGAGAGGAGAGGAGACGAAAGATGAAGCACATGGGGGTGGAATTCCATTCCCCGAGGCGCAGGGTTTGCGCGGGCCTTGGGGGTGGAGGCCCTGAAAATAGGTTCAGGCTTCGTTGTCGGACTCGTCTAGTCCGTGCGGACGGCGTGGAACCCAGGTTCGGAAATGGGCAGGGAGCGCACCCACGTTGCGGGAGAGTTCGGGGAATCGGGTAGCCCCTTCGTACCCCAGGGCCAACCGTCACCACGAGCACGAGTCTCCCTGACGACACCAGTGACAATTAAACCGCGGTCGCCAGGTGGCATGCACAGCGGACCAAGGCAACAGCATGAGGTCGGTGTACGACAAAATAAAAGGCGGGGAGGCAAATCGCTCAATCAGCGCAAACCCACTCCCGCTTATATGGCATGCCTGGGTCGGGTTATAAAGGTGGATTGGCTCAGTGCGCCAGAGCAGGCTCCGCACATCCGCATCGCAGTAGATGCCATCGTCATCTGCGATCGGGAAGGGCGGAAGAGCGCTGCGACGCTCTGAGGCCAGGTCTAAGCTCGGGCGACAGCCCGCGCCCGAGCTTGCGTTTGTCGAGACGAAACCTGACTCCATGCAAAGATCAACGAATCCCGTTGAAGAAGGATGCGCCCAGCTTTCTTTCTCCATCTCTTCTCTGTATCATCAACCTCAACGCGGTGTCGAGCACCCGTGGTGGATACAGAGAGGTCGGCCTCTTCGCGACGAAGCGGCTGGCCGATCTCTCTGAAAGTATCCGCCTACTCTTGGGGTCCCGACCGTCGCCCCGTTGGAATGAGGGAGGGGGGAGAGAGAGAGAGAGAGAGAGAGAGAGAGAGAGAGAGAGAGAGAGAGAGAGAGAGAGAGAGAGAGAGAGAGAGAGAGAGAGAGGTTGGCGCGTATCACACACACTCGCGCAAATAATCAAAAAGAAAGGGAGATGGGAAGGACCGATGCATTCATACCCACATGCAAGCAATCGGCACTTGATACCTCGATACTTCCGCTCATCAGGCCCAAAGGCGCATACACACACACATACCCATAGAGTCTTTAATGAACCATTCAACATCCATAGACTTTCGTACGCGTGGCTTTGCCCATCGCAGGGAAAGGAGAAAGAGGGGATCGGACTTCGCTTAGAGGGAAGACAAAGAGACATGCAGGAGGGAGATGCCCAGCAAGAAGGGAAGATGTCGCGGGGATGCAGAGCGGGGGAAGAGGTTTACGCGGCGTGCAAAAAGTCAAAAACCGCCGCGCGCCCAAAATTCCCGCTAAGTCCCAACTGTTTCTTGCATTTCTTGGCGCGGCCGCTAACCGGCTACGCCAGACCCGAATTACATTTTCTATTCCACCCCCACTCCCTTTAAACAAAAAGGACAAAGAAAAAGAAAAATGAAACACCGCTTTCCCCCATTATCTTGAATCCATTCTTTGGGGTTCTACATGGGATTTTCCCTTAGGGGCACGGAAAACCGCCGAGTGCGGATCCTGGCTTATCACATCTGTGATGCGTAGGGGGTTCCGGAAAAAGTGGTAGTCTCCCGACTGCTGTATAACCCTCCTAAATTCCTAATTACCTTGATGATCCAGGCGGCCACTTCTTCGTCAGCTGGCCCGGTTCATCACCTACTCTACTTCGATGCCTACCGCATCGATGTGGATCTCCTCTCCTATTGTACACCTGATCAGGCGGCCCTTCCATCGTCCGCTGGCCCGATCATAATTTTTTTTTTTTTTTTTTTTTTT